GGAGCGTGCTGGCGCGCACGGCGCAGGTGAGCGGGGCCGGCCGGGCCCAGCACCGGGATCCACCCCGAGCCCCTTGCTGGGACCCCTGCGCGGGAGCAGGGCACCCACGGCACCACCCGGGGGCGTTCGGGAGAAGCTGGGATGGGGATGCGGGATGGATGCGGGTACCCCCTCCGGGATGCGGGTGCCCTCTGCGGATGTGACAGATGCGGGCACCCCTCAGGGATGCGAGTGCCCCCCGGGGATGCGGGATGGATGCGGGTGCCCCCCCTGGGATGTGGGTGCCCCCCGGGGATGCAAGATGGATCTAGGTGTCCCCCAGGGATGCAGGTGTTCCCCGGGAATGTAGGTGCCCCCGGGGATGCGAGACGGCTGCAGGTGCCCCCCTGGGATGCCAGTGCCCCCCAGGGATGTGAGATGCATGAGGTGCCCTCCTGGGATGTGGGTGCCCCCCGGGGATGCAAGATGGATCTAGGTGTCCCCCAGGGATGCAGGTGTTCCCCGGGAATGTAGGTGCCCCCGGGGATGCGAGACGGCTGCAGGTGCCCCCCTGGGATGCCGGTGCCCCCCAGGGATGTGAGATGCATGAGGTGCCCTCCTGGGATGTGGGTGCCCCCCGGGGATGTCAGATGAATGTAGGTGCCCCCTGGGGATGTGAGATGGATGCCGGTGCCCCCCGGGGATGCGAGACGGATGCGGGTGCCCCCAGGGATGCCGGTGCCCCCCAGGGATGTGAGATGGATGCAGGTGCCCCCCTGGGATGCTGCTGCCCCGCAGGGATGTGAGACGGATGTGGGTGCCCCCTGGGATATGAGGCAGATGCAGGTGCCCCCCCTGGGGATGTGGGCACCCCCCGGGGATGTGAGATGGATGTGGGCACCCCTTGGGGATGCAGGTGCCCCCTGGGGATGCGAGATGGATGTTGGCACCCCCCCCCCGGGATGCAGGCACCCCCCTGGGATGCAGGTGCCCCCCAGGGATGCGAGACAGATGTGGGCACACCTCCCCGGGATACAGGTGCCCCTGGGGATGCGGGT